TTTGCTCCTCTCCCCACATTATCTGGTAAAAGTGATATACTTCCTGTCTGGCTCTGTCGATGTTCTCCCATGTGGACAGTTCATCACGGGCCCAGAGCGGGGGGCTGGCCAGCGGGCTGGGGGATCTGCAGGATGGAGGGAGCCAGGCCAGGAGGGGCCAGCAAGATACACTCATCTGAAAGCCCTGGCGTGTCCTCACTGGAGGGAGGAAACGTCCAGAAGCTTCCCAGGGGCCATTCTCACGGCTGGAGTGGCCCCTCCTGCTGCCCCTGGGCTGCACCCTTGGCCTCTGGCTCAGTGTGTGGTCTTCCACTCCTGGTGGTTGGAGGCTGCTATTAGAAACCAGCCGGGTGTGTGTGTGGGGGGGGAGGCTGGCAGAAGCATGGCCACATGCAAGGGACAGGCAGCTGGGAGGGGGGGGAGGGGACAGAGCTGGGGACCATCCCAGCTACACATCTTCCACCTATTAGCACAGAAGCCTTGGTCACAGAAGGCCAAACCAGGAGGCCAAATCTTGCTTTTCCTTCTCTCCACCTCCTTACAGGGGGCAAGGCTCCCACCTTCCCACACCTCTAACCCAGAGCCAGGCTGCCCCAGAGGCTGGCTTGCCAGATACCCTCCTCTGGCCCCAGTGAGCTGGAGGGGAGGCTGTGGGGGTGGGGGTGGGGGTGGGGGTGGGGGTGTCCGCCCTGCCCCAAGGCTTCATATGCCGAAGCAGGCACCTGGACGGTGAGATGTGAGTTCCAGCCCCCTCCCTCTGCCTGAGATTACATGGTCCCTCCCCCACCCGAGGGTGGCAGGAGACCTGCCCAGGTGGCTGACTGGCTGAGCCCAAGAAAGCTGCATCTGTGCATCGTGCATCGCACCAATCCTCTCACTCAGGCAGGAGGCTCAGCTGCCCGAGAGGCAGTTGAAAATAGAGTCTAAGAATAAGCGGCTTAGTCCGGTTTGGAGAGGGGCCCAGCTGGGTAGGGGTGGGCCGAGGCCTTGGGGAGCATCAGCTGGTTGCAACGGAAAGAACCAGGCACCCAGAAGTTCCACTCACCTTTCTTCCAGGGACAGGGATCTCTTAAAGGTGTCCTAGTGCCCTTGGCCAGATGTACGCCCCACCCCCTCGCTCCAGAGCCGCAGGGTCAGGTGGCCTGGGTTGATTCTTTTTGCAAACACAGGCCCAGGAGAGGCCGTCTGAACACACAGCACAGCCTCCCCTCGCTCAGCACAGCCCTGGCTGTTTGTGTCCACAGGACCCCTGGCAGGCAGAAGGGACATTTCCCAGAGGCCCTCAGAAAATGGTCCCGGGGTAAACTGGCTGCTTGACTACCTCTGGCCTGGAAGAGGTCCCGTTGCGCCCCAAAGGCACAGCTGACCCACCCCGGACCACTCTGCGGTCCTGATGCAAGAGGCCTGGGGAAATCTGTTCTGAATCTGGACCTCTGGGGGAAGAAATGGTGAAGCTGGTAGTTCCCAGAGCCCCTTGGCTAAAGGAAGCGGCTGTTCCCCAGCCTGGGGCCCTTGCCGCTCCCTCTGCCTTGGATACTCCTCCTTCCCATCCGTCTCAGCCTGGCTGATGCCTGCTCAGGCTGGAGGTCTCAGTGGAAGAGTCACTTCCTCCTGGAAGCCTTCTTGAACACTGGGCTGGATGAAGCTCTCTTGATGTGTCCTGTGGGCACTTATTCGCTCATGCATTCAATCCTTCATAAGACAAACAGGTACTGTGGCCCGCAATCTGCCAGCCTGTAGGGCCTGTGTCCTCTAGAGGTCACAGTGCAGGGGCTGGGGAGGGTGGGCAAGTCCCCTAAGTTTGGGAGAAGCGCTGCAGCTCCCGAGACCCAGGGGACTGTGCTCCCCCCTAAGTCGGCCTGGAGCGGGTAGATGCCGACGCCAGCGCCCCCTCTTCCCTGTTCTCCCTCCTCCCCCGTTTCCATGCTTGTCTCCGCCTGGATGGCTGTGTCCAACTGAGATTTTGGGGACAGGGGGCCCCTGCGCCCATGACCCTGCCTGGGGACGATCGCCTCCCGCCCGACCAGGCTGCTCAGACAAAGGCTGCGCCCAGGACAAAGGCTGCGCCACCGTGGCTGCTGCTGCGCGCGCGGATTCGATTCCGCGTGCCCCACCCAGCCTTTAGTCTGGCAAACAAATCCATTTTTTTAAACAAATGAAAGCTGAAATCTCTTCCCAAACATTTCTCCCCCTCTGGGTTGGAGGGAGGAGCAAAGAGCGCCTCCAGGATGGCAAGCAGGGCGACGGACGCGGGTGGAGTGGTGCGGACCAGGAGCGCGCGCAGCGGGAGGCGGCCGCCGGCGCCAGAGCGCGCAGCCCTGGCGGCACGTCCCCGTTCTCTCCCCTGGGCTGGGGAGGGCTGAGCCGTGCCGCAGTCCGTGGGGCGGGCGCGGGCGCAACCTGCCCAGCGCTCCGCGCAGGGCCCCTGCATTGCAGCTGCGCCGGGCGTGCAAGCGTGCGTGTGCGCGCGTGTACATGCGCGCGTGTGTGTCTGTGTGTGCGCCTGTTGTGCACGCGCGCCGCCCGGCCGCCGTGCCCCAGTTCGCTCGGCGCTGCTGTCACCTCGCCCCCTCCCGTTCCACCACCGCCCCTCCCCCTGGCCGCAGCGCGCGCACCTCCCCGTCCCCGCGGTTCTAATTGAGAATTTGCCCGGTAACCTTGGGGGCGGGACGGGCAGAGGGAAGGAGCCGCGGAACGGGAGGAGAGGGGAGAGGAGAGGAAGGCTTCTGACAGCCTGGTCGCTGCAGCATCGTCTTCGACACACTTCTTCACTGCCAGGCCACAGGGTTGGCCAGAGCCCGGGGAACCTCCACCCTCTGGGCTGTCCCAGCTGTCCCCTTTGCACTGGGAGGATTATGACCCTGGCGCTGAGGCTGCGGTTCTGCTCCCCTCCCCCCCCCCCCACCGTTATTTTGTATCAGGCTGGTGAAATGCTGGGAAAATGATCCTTGGGTAGATAAGTCACTTGTACTCATTTTGGGGGGCGGGGAGGTGGGGGATGGAAAAGAACAAGGAGACGGTAGTTTTACTCTTCCACCCTGGCAGGGTGGGCATCTCACGGTTCCTATGCCCTGGCCCCCCTTCCCCTCCCACTATTGAAAGGATGCCTGGCCAAGCCCAAAGGGAAAGAGATTCATGGGGTCCTTCGGGGCCCCCATCTGCTCTCTGTAGGGGGGTGGCCCTGCCTTGTCCCTTCCCCAACTCCTGTCATCTCTCCTGTGTATTCTGCCAGGGGCTGGGAGGATGCTTATTTCAACTGGAGGCCTATGGAGCTCAGAGCTCCAAGTCCCGGCAGAGGGGGCTGCTCGGGAGCAGGTGTCCTGCTTGGCGGAGGACTCAGGGGCGTGCTTGTCATGAAGCAGTGAAGGTGGCTTCCCTTCCCCACGATCTCTATCACAGCATCCTCTCCTGCCGGCAGCCTCCTGGTACAGCCGGCCCTCTGGGCTTCCGGGGGTGGGGAGGGGGGGGGGATGGCTGATGATTCCTGTGCTCCGAGGCAAGGCACTGCCTGGCTAGACTTGGCTTTCTGAAGGGCTCCATCTTCCAGGCAGGTCCGACACTGACTGGTCCCTGCATCCTGCAGTGCACGCTGGTGAAGTGACCTGGTCACTGAGGGAGAGCCAGGGCTCTGCAGAGTTCCCTGTTCCCTTTCCCATTTGTTCTGCAAAACTGAAACCGGATTTCCTGAACGGGAGCCCCTGGTCACCCTGCCCTTCTCTGTTACATCCTGCAGGTCATCATCACAGCGCCGGCTGGCTTCAGCCTCGGCCAGGGTGGCTGCCAAGGCCAGCCTGGCGCTCCCAGGCAGCCACTGCCAGGGTGCAGACGCCTGCTGATCCAAAACCACCTCTGGGAACAGCTCAGAGGGTTCAGTGGCCAGGGCGGCTGCCAGACACCCTGTCACTGCTGGGGCCGGGGCTGGGATGAGGCAGAGATTTACACACTGGGTGGCCCAGGAAAGCTGACTAAGGCATGTGCCCAAGCCCAGAGAGCCTCCAGCGACCAGCAGCAAGGGGAGGTCTGAGAGGGGAGAAGGCAAAGGGCCGCTGTGGATGGGAGCTTAAGGAACTGACCCCCACAGAGGGCCTGGGTCAGCTTAGCTGAGACCCAACACCTTGGGCCGGCAAGGTCTCTAGCAAGGTACCCCACAGACGGGCACCTCTGTGGCTGCCCTGATACTAAGGGCGGGTGTAAGCCATCCCTCCATCCTGTCTCGGTGCCCAGAGCAGACCATCAGCTCAGCCCCCCAGGCCAACTCTGGGGCTTCCCCTGGGCATGCCCGGGCCTGGAAGGGCAGCCTCTGCAACTTTTCTCTGCAGAGCCTCTGGTGCCCCAGGGGGAGCAGCCACCGCTCGGCACCCCCGTGCAGCAGGCCAGCCGCTCTCAGAGAAGCATCCTTGGCCATCACGTCCTGCCTCCTGCCTTGGAGCCTCTGGGGGCTCCCTGGCCCTCCGCCCTCAGCTGGGTCGGGGAGGGCTTCCATGAGAAGGTGTGGCTCACGGTCCCTAAAAGGCAGAAGCACTCAACACACAGCCTTGAAGTCCAGGCCTTGGAATCAGAAAGAAGCCCAACCTGGGCTGCCTTCCCCCAGCCTCGCCCATTGCTGTTGCCTCTGAGAGGCTCAGGGCTTGGTGATGGCCTCCAGGAGCTCCCTCTGCTTCTAGAAGCTGCCCTGGGGCTGGGGGTGGAGCAGCAAAGAATGCCTGGACCCTGCTGCCCCAGGTCTGTCCGGAGAGGGGCCTCTCAGCAGCTCAGGGGCTTGTCTGGCCACTCAGACGCCCTGGCAAGCCCTGGGTCCAAGCTCACCCACTCACTCCGTCCCAGGGAAAGCCCGAGATTGAGGGTGGGGACCAGCCGGTCCTCTCGAGGTGCGACTTGCACCCCGAGCAGCAGAAGTTAGGAAACCTGGATGCTTCCTCCTTTTTCACACCTTGCACACAGGGTTCCCAAGTGTCCCTCTCCCTTGGGGCCCGGCAAGGCGACCCGAGCGCTGTTCTTACCGTCCAGTGACAGCCAATCGTGCTGGGAGGATGGGAGTGTGGGCAGGGCCCGAGCTTTGTACTCAAATACCACTGAGTTGGAGATGATCTGGTTGTTGAAGGCAACTTGTAGGGTCACAAGACCAGTGTCATGGGCTGAAAGCAAAAGAAAGAGCTGTCAGGGAGGGAGGAGGCCGGGGCATGGGCACACTCCAGCCTCATGTCCCCACCCAAGGGCCAGGAGGACCCTCTCCCCACTGCCCTTCATGGATTAGCCCTGCCTGGGCCTGCTCATTCCTCAAGGTCAGAAGCGGGGGGGAAGGGCTTTAGGTGCAGCATTTGCTTTGGACTCCTTTGTGCTATTTCTCTGTTTCGCCTTTTCCTGCAAGCTTGTCCTGACTCACTTAGCATGGCCTTCTGTGTATTTTCAGAAGTTCTTCTGCATCCCCGATAAAGGCCAGAGCTTCGTCTGTGCCTGTTACTCTGAGCCCAGTGGTGCTGGGCAGGAGGCTGGCGTAAACCTTGCGTCTCCCCCCCCCCGCCCCCGACGCCTGGATGTCAGGCTTCGGGAAGACCGGCCCTTATGGGCCTCGTGAGCTGCTCTGACCCCGACACGGGGCTCAATGAAAGCTATTAGTTGAGTAACGCAGGGGACATTCTCACTATTCCCAAGAGGAGAGCCTACCTGTGGCAGAGAGACTTGCTTCATTTCTGGGGGTGAGGCTGCTTTTGAAGTCTTGGGGGCCAGGGGGTGTATACAGGCTGCTCCGCCCCGCCGGGCCTCAGCCTCTGGTAGACAGCAGGGTTCTGTGGTCTCTGCCCTGCTTTTCTGGAACCAGTGCCCAGGGCCTCCCCAGGACAGATTTCCAGGGAGGACGCACCCGGGGATCGTGTTACTGTTTGGGCTCTTGGTTTTCCGAAGCTTAGACTGGAGGAAGCTCTCCAAGTCAGCTGCTCCCCAGGGCAGAGTAAAGCCCTGGCTTCCCTCTGAGGTCTTCTGATGCAGCCCTCGCTGCCCACGGGAAAACCAACTCGTTGAGGTGTGGCCTCCCTCCATCCCAGGTGTATGTGTTACGCAATGGTCCCCAGAGCAGGTCTTCGGGAAGTCATTGCCCCAAGATGACCAGTGTGTTTTTTTTCCCTGTGCTTTCCACCCTGGTGCGGTCCCTCGGCTCCAGATCACAAGCTGGCTCCACGGTGGGTGGGGTACCACTGGAGATCCCGCCGCGCCTCTCTGGGCAGGGGGCCCCAGCCAAGTCCAGACCTCCCTAGGCTCTGATGGCATCCCCAGGCAGATCTCCAAGCTCGTGGTTACTCGTCTTCCCTGGAGATTTGCCTCGTTTACCAACAGGAGGGTAGGGCGTCAGCGAACGCCCCATCGGAGCCCACTCAGCTCTGTTCCTCTGGGCAAGTCTGCTGCCTCTCGCTGGCCCCCGGGGAGCTCAAGCCTTCTCTGTACCAGACATTCCAGCTGGAGGGTCCTCCTCACCTGCCGCTCATCTTCCACCATCTCCTGGCATGTGTACAACCTGCCGTGACGCTGGAACGGTGGCAGATCCCAAGGCATCCCGTCCTTCCCCAGAGAGACAGAGCGAAGAGGACCTGTCATAGCCTCCTGGGTCCCAGCCCAGCACCCCGGCGCATGCGGGCCTGTCACCCAGGACATTTCCTGGACTCACTTTCCCTCCCCTGCGTTGAGTCCATCAGCAAGCCCTGGGTCCATTTACTTCTCTCCATCCTGATGGCCACCACGGTACCCAAGCTGCCATCATGTCTTGCCTAGATGCCTGGACTCCTGCATTAGCGTCCTGCCCAGGGCACCCTCAGCACACCTGAGACCTACCTGTTCTGCTGGGATGGTGTTAGGGTGGGGGGCACACTCCAAAGCCTCCACAGGAAATCAGTGGGAGTGTGTTGCCCAAGGGAGCCTTCCTCCTTAAATCGGGAAAGATTACCCCTCTGCCGCTTCCTATGGTTTCTCTGCTTCTTTCTTCCCTCCTACAATCCATTCTCCCACACACCCAGATTCATCTTTGAAAGACATAATTTAGATCAAGCCACTCCCCACTTAAGACTAATGGCTTCCGTTGCAAGTACAACCTAATCAGACTCCTTCTTATGACTTAGAAGGATGGACATGATTTGTTCTCTGCTATCTTCTCCAACCTAGCCACCTCCAACTCACCCCACCTTTATATTTCTTCAACTTACCAAACCTGTTCCTGCCTCAGGGCCTTTGCACTTCCTTTGCCCTCTGCCGGATGTTTTCCTCCCATGCTTCCCATGACCAGCTCCATCTCATCATTCAAGTTGCAGCCTAATGTCCCAGCCTGTGAGAGGATCTGTCCAAAGGAACGTCCCGTTTCCCAAGTTACCTTATCACATGACCATATTCTAGTGTTTTCTCCAGTGATCTTGGTTATTTCTTTGTTTCCTTGTTTGTTTTTTCATCTCCTACAGTAGAATGTAAGCTCTGTGAGAGCTGGGAGCCAGTCTGTCCTGATCACCTCTTTATGCCCAGGGCCAAGGTCAGTGCCTGGCCTGTTATGGCCCGTCAATACCTGTTTGTCGAGTGAATGCAGTGCACTTGCTCATCTCATTTTGAATTTCATCTTTTGCCTTTGGTGACTCCAAGGAATCCAGCGTGAGGCTGTCCAGAAGCCCCCAAACAAAGTCTTTTTGTTGGGGGGCTTCCTCCATCTTCTCCAAGGACCAGGTTGCCTTTCCTAAATCCCAAGTCCTCCTTCACCACTGCTTCACCAGAGCTCACTGGCTTGAATTGGTTTTCTCCCTCCTGACCTTGGAACACTACTGGAATCTTGCAAGAGGCAGTTTCCATGCCTGTGTGTCTTCTGCGGCCAGTGATGGAGGGGGAGCCGCCCAGAACCATGTTCTTGGTCAGGGTCGAGTCTCCCCAGCTGTTTTGCCTGGGCATGTGCACGAGGCCGGTAGGCAGGGGCCATTTGCACCCCCTGTGCCCCCTCTTCCCATGTCATTCTAGCTCCTCAGGTGACCTGGCTTGTGCTCCCAGGCCTCTGAGCCCTTCTTTTAGGTGAGGCCAGTTTGGTTCTGGTTTCAAGTGTCCTTTCTTTAAGATCAGCTCCAGGTTCCCCAAGGCTTTGGGAGACCCAGGGAAGAGGTCCCTGAGAAGCCAGCATTGTCCCCCAGGGTGCATGACCGGCTCCTTCCTGGACTGAGAGCTCCTCGCGGTCAAGGTTAGAGTTAGGGGCTGGGTCCACTCCAGGTGCCTACCAGTGCCTGGCAAACTACTTGACGAATGAAGAAATGAACGAATGCATGTAGCACCCAGTGCTCTCTTACTGAGTGACATGTTTTAGTTTGGGCCTCAAAACAAGGATGTCCAAAAAGGACGCCCCCTCTTTGTGGTTAGGGGTGGAACAGGGCGGGGCCCCCAGCCCACAGGCTGCCTGAGCCTCTCTGGGTCCAAGATGCAAGATGTTAGGGGAGCCTAAACCACTAGGAGGCATAGTGACCTGGGCAGACTCTCCTGCCAGCAGCCCTGGACCCCTCTCCCAACTCCCCTCCCCACAACCAGGACTGAAACAGCAAGGCCTCACTCATGAGCAGCTTGATGAATTCAGCATGTAAGCCAGGAGCTTCCTGGACCTGCCCTCATCTCAGCCCCTTGCCCATCTGGCCGGTGATTTCTACAGATGTAGAAATGGGGACTGAGAGAAGTCAACCTCCGGGCTCACGTCACCCGACGGTAACTGGCTGATCTGGGAGGTGCGTGATGTGACTGCTCCAGCACCCAGGATTTGCCAGGTCCTGGCCTGGGACGCCATCCAGACGGCATGCAAAGGCCAATCTTTTTTTATTTTTTTGGAGGGGTCGGATAACTCAGGACAGGCGAGGTCTGGGTCTTCGGCCAGGCAAGAACCAGGTACAGGAAGTGGTATCTATTTATAGGCTGGGCCAGTCCCTTTCCAGGAGCAGGTGATAAGTGGATCGTTAAGAACACGCTGCCCCTCCCCCTACCTCACCAGTGGCGGTGGGGGGCTGCATGAGCCACACGCGGCCCCGAGCTGTGATAGGCTGACCCGGCCTGGCTGGCGTCAGGATGGCTGCGCTCCAGCCCCAGGAGGGCTGCTGGGAGCCTGGGAGCAGGGGGGAGATGAGTGGGAGCCAGCCAGGCCGCTGGCGGGGGCAGGGCCAGCAGAGGAAGCCACCACAGGCACCAGGCCTGGCTCCCTGGGATGTTTGCGGTGCAGAGGCCGCTGCATTCAAGCGGAAGCTGAGTATGTGAGCCCAGCCCTGGAGCAGCGGCATTCTGCTCCAGTGGGCTGCGTGGGGAGATGGAGAGATAGATAGATAGATAGATAGATAGATAGAGAGAGAGAGAGAGAGAGAGAGAAGAATGTTCCATGTCAGCTAGGGAGCCCCAGGCTAGGGTGATGGTGCTGGGTAAGGCAGACAGCTCCAGCGGCCGGAGGTTCAAGCTGGACCGCCCCAGGTGAACCAGGCCCCTGGCACGGGCCAGCTCTACTCCTGCCCTGGGGACCCCCCGGCCCCACTTCTCTTCCCCACCCCTGGTCCTCCACGGGGAGCGTTCTCTCTCTCTCTGTCTCTCTCCTTTTTGTCGGCTGCAAATAACACGGAGTGGGACCCTCCGCCCTCCCCGCCCGCCTCCTCGTCTGCCTTTCCGTCCATCATCTGGGCCAGCTGGACGGGTCGTCCCTGGAACTAATGATGCGTGTGAGGGGCCAGTCAAGGGGTCCTCCCAGCACCAACCCAGGGAACAGAGAACGTGAGCAGATTCCTTCATGCACATCCACCTCTTTTTTGGGACGTGCCAGGCACTTTTCGATCCCTTGGTCACACGTGGTGACCAAGAAAGACACAGACCCTGTCCTCATGGAGCCAACAGGCCAGTGGGGAGGAGGTAATGGTCAGAGGCCAAGGGCAAGTTGACCAGGCAGGGACACCAAGCTACGCCCCGCCCGAGTGATAGGGACAAGGTCAGAGCCACGGGGACAGCCCCCGGGGCCTCCGGGGCCTGAGAGCCAAAGGAGACGATGTGCCTGTGCCTCCTTCTGGCCATGGGGTGGCTGGCGTCAGCAGCCTCTCAAAGGAGTTTCTGTGGGTTATTCTCAGTCTGACGCCCCCTCCCCTGCGGTCTGCCGGGCCTTCTCCATCCCTCTCTGACCCGCTCTGTGCCGCAGGGGACTGGCCCCGTGGACCGCATGGCCTGGGCCCTCTCGTCCTCGTGACTTCTGTGTGGCTTCAGCTGTGTGAGGCATGGGCGGGGGGGGGAGAGAGGGCGGCCTCGTGGCCCCGACCCCATAAGCGGCTCCTTTTGGGGCCCTTCCGCCCGCCTGGCTCTCACCAGCTCCTGTAACCCTTCAGGTGGAGGGTGATTAGAGCTTCCTGCTGTGACCAGTCCTGGGTGTGTCACCCTGGCTCATTGGTCATCTAAGCAGTCCTCCATCAGGTTCTCTTCAAAACCCAGCCAAGCTCACCTGTGTCCCCATCTATCATGCTAAGGGGGCCATGAGTCCAGAACAGATGCCATTATGATAGCTGATCCAGGACCCACTCCTTCACCGTGGAGGAAAAGGAGGCCCAGGGTAATGACACAAGTTGCTCCAGGTCACCCCCTCCAGGCTGACTCGGAGTCCAGCGCTCTGGGGCCCTGCGGCCTCTGCCGGGAGGCGGCCTCTCACCTGGGCAGTAGCAGCGGAGCACCCCGGGCTGAATCAAGGACGCAGGCACTGAGATCTGGTCGAACAGGCAGCTGTAATTATTGCTGGCTTCTTGCCACGGGCCTGTGATGAGAACCTTCACTCCTCCCTGGAGGGAACAGAGACCAGCGGGGGGCAGAGGTCAGCCCCAGAGGGAGGGATGAGGGACACAGGCCCCCGTGGCTGCACCCCCAGCCCATGTGCTTGTGGAAAATGCAGACTGCCGATTCCCGTAAGCCCTACTTTTGAGAACCACTGTTTCAGGACTGTGGTGGGAAGGAGGCCCCCAGCCTCCCTCCCGGCGCTCTCAGGGGTCCCCAGATGCTCCTGGCCTTCCTCAGCTGGCACCCAGCACGGGGGCCACCAGTTCGGATCCCTGACCCCCTCCTGGAAGTGAAACTTTCAGCTCCAGGCAGAAGGCAGCACAGAGTTTTTCAAGCTTTTCCCCCAGGATGCACCTGAGAACTGGCGGGGGGTGGTGGGGGACCCCTGAGAGGAAATGGAGGGGAGGGAAGGGCCTTTCTCTGTCATTTGCTTGTGGACAGATTGTGTGAACTCTGAGCTACGGAAATGGGCTTGAGCTTCTTAGTGGCCTGCAGGGACTGGACCTTCTGGCGGGGAGATGAGGGGAGACCCGGGATGCCCAGGGTGTGGTGGGGATAGCCAGGGGTGGGAGGCAGCGAAGTGGGGCTGGATGAAGAAGGTAATGAGAAAGAAAGCAGAACAGAAAATTGGAAGGAAGGCTCAGAGCTGGGGGGGCTCAGAGGTTGCCATGGTGGCCAGACGGCCCCCTCACTGTGTACAGACACAGTACACGCAAGCACCGATGTGCTTACAGCCTGGCTGGGCTGCAGCTGCTCCCACAGGGCGAGAGCCGGGGAGTGGGGGGAAGGGGGATGCAGGAGTGGGGCTCAGATGACCTTGCTCAGCTCAAGGGGAGAGGGCCCTGCCCCTAAGGATCCCAGAGGCGCCCAGGCGCAGGACAGCACCCGAAGGGTACAGGCGCTCCCTGACCTCTGGCTGGAACCAGCCAGGGCAGCCACAGAGCAAGGAGGGTGGCCTTACGTCTCGGTGCCCCGGGCAGTCCTGTCTATTGTCCGAGCTTAGTGATTAATAGCCGCCTGTCCTGCCTGATGCGAGCAAGGCGGTGTAGGTGCCCTACTCAGAGCTCAGCTGAGGGGAAGGCCAGGCAACTGAGTCAGGGAGGCCCGCCCCGGGGGTGCAGAGGGTGGGCTGGCTGTCCTCTGGCTCTCCTGGTCCTTCGTGAGCTCCCGCCTCCTCTCCCGGCAGGGGGCCAAGCTCTGCTCAGGACGGGGTGGAGAGCACCACCTAGTGTCCAGGCAGGAGAAGGTCGAGCGGCGCGCCTCCTGGACACTGGGGGGGTGGGGGGTTGAGGGGGTGAGGAGTGCGGCCTGAGGCCCTCCTTCCCCCACCTCTCCAGGCCAGAGAAGCCAGACCCTAGTTCTCCTGCTGCTCCTAATGCCAGTGAGACGTTCTCTCCTGCTCAGTCCCCCGTTCTTGGGTGACCTGTCCTTGGCACTGGCCCATCCGTGCTCTGGAGGGACCCCGGCCTCGACACAGGACTGGCTGTTGAGGCTCCGCACAACGTTCCTGGAAGCAGACCTGGCCTTGGGCATCAGCAGTAGGAGGGGGTGTTTCCAGGGATGAGGTGGAAGTGGGTCCCTCACAGCCCAGCACAGAAGGGAGCTTCCCCTACGGAAGGGGCTCTCCCAGACTGGAAGGCCTTCCACCTGTGCTCTTGGATGGGCCTTCCTTCCTCTGCCTGGAATGGCTGGAGAAGTCATCTTACTGCTAGACAATCAAAGTTTGGAGGGTGGTAGACAGAGCTCAGGACCAGGAGCCAAAGGCAGGAGGCCTGCCTCTGCCCCTCGTAGCTGTGTGTCCTCAGTCAAGTGGCCCAACCTCTCTGGGTGGCATTTGAACTTTAAGGACCCTCTGGCCTTGACATTCTTTGGTTCTGATATATGGCTCCGCAGAGAGATTTGGAGTTCTGTCGGAGTGGCGGGGCTGGAGCCAGCATCCTTGGGCCCACAGGCTGGGAGTGGGCTCCTGGCTGGGAGATGTACCATATGGCACAGGTAGAACCTGACTTTGGGATGCCTGGGGGCACCAGAGGCCAGCTCAGGGCACGATCCACCCTGGATCCTGGGCAATGGAAGAGCAGTGTCTTCAAAAGGCCACAGACAGTTACTCTGTGAGAAAAAAAGAAAGAAAGAAAGAAAAAAACCCCAGTAACCCCAATCAGTAGCGCTAGCATGAAGCCAGGGCTGCTGTGAAGAACAAAGGACTGCAGGAACTACCGGAGAACATCAGGACCTTCTCCACGGAAACTGCTGCGGGAGGGGCTCAGCATCCATCAGTTCAGGAGATGGTTTCCATGGCAACATCGGCCTGGCTGTGCTGAATCGCTGTGATGCAGGCACCTGACAGCTCTAATTGCAGCCTCCTGTGCCTGGGGCGGCAGGAGTGTCCGTGGAGGGAGATGACGCAGAAGCATTTGGGGGAGGAGAGGCAGCAACACATGCTATCTGAGGTCTCTGTGCCCTGGGATCCCTGAGTAAAGGACCTGGATTTCTGATGCCCCTAGGGCAGATCCTGGGGGCCCAGGGGCACCTCCAGCATAGGTGTGTGTGTGTGTGTGTGTGTGTGTGTGTGTGTGTGTGTGTGCAGGTGAAGAGGCAGACAGAGCAGAGGGGAAGCGGGAGCAGCCTGTGGTGGGGGAGGGATGCTCAAGAAGAGACAGTAAGATGGCCCTGGTCTTAGCATCCCTGCGAAGTGAGTGCCTGGGCACCCTCGAATTTTAGAGCTGGGTGACGATGCTGAGCGACTGGCTAGATCTGGGCTCCTGACACAGGTGGCAGGCAGGCTTCTTCCCAGCAGAGAAGGGGAGAGGGCGAAGGGTACCATGCCAGCCGGTGAGGGCGGTGCTATGAGGAGAGAGGAAGGACGGGGGAGAGATGCTATCTCCGGCAGGAGAGCCCAGGAGGGTCGGCCCCTGCTGCTGGACTGGGTGGGGGAGGATGGCGGGGAGGGAGTGGCCTGCAGAGCCGCTGGGGCCTCAACAGAGGCCTCTCCGAGCAGCCACGTTGGGCTCCAAAGGGCCCAGCTGGTGGCATTTGCGCATTTCCCAAATCAAACTGAATTTGAGCTGCTTTTGTTTCTGGGTAGCTGGAAGCATCCAGAGCTTCTGGAAAAGCGGGGCTGCCGCTCCCTCTGCGAGGTGCCCGGGCCATCTTTCCTTTCTCGTTCCCATGCCGCCCTCGCGTGGCGAGCTGCTGAACTGACTTTCTCCGAGGTACAGTTTAGGGATCTGCAGGCCGGTGCTCTGATACAGGACAGAGAGCGCCAGGCCTGCCAAGAGCCCCTGACCAGTGCCCGCAGGTCCCAGCGGCTGGAAGGAGGGCCTGGACCCACCCAGGGATGTGCACTCAGCTTACAGGTTGAGTCCCGGGATGAAAAGCTCCTCCTGCCGAAGGACACGGGCACCGGGGTGCCTCAGAGCACCCTGAGGAAGGACCAGATCTCCAAGGTCGGAGGACTTGGAGGGACTTGAGGCCACCCCTGCTCAGCCACGTACAGATCAGGACACTAAGGCCCAGGAGGCAGTGCCCCGACTCCCAGCTCTGACCTCCTTGAACCCCAGTCCCAGGCCTCCCTCCCAGCCCCTCGGAATTGCTTTCTTAATCCCCGTGGGGAGCCAGCTGCTGGGCTGAGCTGACCTTTCACCCCAGGGGATGGGGTCACAGCGAGCCACACCAAGAGGAAACTGAGTCAGTCTTCTGGAGTCTTGGGGGTCCATGGTGGTAGGGGGAGTCCCTGGAGGTGGGTGGAAGAGGCAGGGCTGCTGGAGCTCTTCGCTCAGTCCTGACAACCCAGTGAGGAAAGCGCTAGTATTGCCCTAGTCTTAGAGACAGGAAAGGCAGCGACCTTTGCCCAAAGTCACCACCGGCTAGTAAACTGGGGGGCTGGATTTGAATCCAGACTGTCCAGCCCCAGCGCCGTGCCCCTCACCACGTAGGGCAGTCACCTCTGGACACCTGAGCTGTGATGAGCCTGCTGCCCGAGGACACAGTGCACGGGCAGAGCAGCTCTTACACCTGCTGTATTTCTGGGATGCTCCTGTCCCAAGGGGGCCACTACCTGGGCTAATGTGGCACCTGAGAGCTGGGGGCGTTCATACACAGTGAGCAGCCTCTTCGCCACGGCCGAGGCAGGAGGACACGTAAAGGAGCACAGTGGGCCGTGAGTTGTGATGGCCACAGAGTAATAACCAATAACAGAACAATAAACTATTGATTACTTACTACGGGCCAAAGACTTTACCAAGAAGCAAGTACTATTATCACCCCCACTTGATAGGTGAGCAAACTGAGTCACAGGGAGGGAAAATCACAGCAGAGGCAGGACTGACACCCAGGGCTGCCCCCTGAGACATGCCCTCCACCCTGGGCCTCAGTGTCCCCTTCACCAGGGCCTGGGGGAGACTGGGAAGCCGACACAGGCTCTCAGAAATGCTGCGCTTCTCAGGGAACCCCGTTAACCCTGTCCCAACTCGGGCATCGTCCTGGGAGCCCCTGCCAGCACCTGGGGCTGGAACGTGCACGGGTTTAGCCAGCATTACTGCTCTGCCCATGTCAGAAGACCTTCTGCGTGGTTTGCATCGCTGCCTTGAGGTACCCCATGAGCTTCAGCGTCTCTCAGGAGCACCCTTCCCTTGGTGTCTTGGGCAGCAGCCCCTGCGCTAATGTCTAGGGAAGGTGGCAGTGGAGCCACGGGAGCCGTGGGCAGCCACCTCCCAGGGGAGAAAGTGCTGATCGGGGCCCCCATATACTGCTCTCCAAACACCTGGCAGGTGCACTGGGAGGGGTCAGGGATCGTGTCCTATTGGGCAGCAGGAGGTTAGGGAACACTTGGGCCACTCTGTCCCCTTCCTACGCCATTCTACTTCAGAGGAAAAGCAAAGGTTCCTTCCTTAAGCACCTGGGCCACCGTGGTAAGACCTGGGTCGTCCTGCGGTCCTGGGCTTTGGAGCAGTGATTCTCAACATCAGATCTCAGCCCCCCCGGAAGTGAGACAGACTGTGGGGTGGGGGGATGTCTTTGATTTTGTAGAGGCTGGATATACCACCAAAATCTCACAGATGACTCTTTGGAAGCTGTACCCTCCCTCTCAATTTGCTGGGAATTTGTTTTTGCTTTGTTTTGTGAAACAAATCAAAAGCAATGGATACAGATGGTCTACAGTGGTGATTTCCAAATATTTTTCCAGCAGCCCTAGGATGCTTTTTTGAAAAAAAAAAAAAAAAGGCAAAGCAAAACATAGGTGGAATCTTAAGACATCGGCCAGGTGACAGCAGTGACAGCAAACATTGCTCTGGCAGAGTTGGGAGGGCCACCTGGCCTCCGAGGAGACCCCTGATTTTAAAGCTACTTGCTCCTGTGAGGACTGAGAACAGCAGAGAGAGCTGGGGGTATTTCGGGCACCATGGGGACAGAGGGAGGGGACAACTGCATGGTCCAGAGCTTCGAGGGAAGGGCAGCCACACGCAAACGAGCATCCCTTGCTGGGTGCTGGCGGGCGGGCAGGTGAGGCTGGTGCGGGAGGCTACGGCAGTGACAGCTTACCTCCGGGTAAGACCACTCTGGAGAGTAGTCGGTCACCATGAACACCCGTCCGCTCTGCTGCAGCATCCCCAGGGTGCCCGGGGCTGAGGCGGCCGAGACTACCTCGGCAACGTGCATGTAGGCCATGGTGCTGGCCCCGCCCTCGGCGCTGCTCAGCTGCAGGCTGCCCTGCTGGGGGCTGCAGCAGGGGATGCACATCTCTGCCTGGGTGAAGGGGGCACGGGCCCCGTCCTCTGACTGCGAGAGCGCTGCGCCATCCCCCGACACCAGCTGGTGCCCGTAGATGGCGCTGCCGCCCCCCTCCACGGAGATGAAGTCGTTGATCAGGTCGGAGAACTGGTTGCCGAAGGAGATGTCGAAGTGGTCCAGGCTGAGCTCCATGTTGGAGGCGTTGCCCAGGCCGGGCTGGGCCACGGGGTAGAGTCCCTGCACCACGTTGCCCGGGAGGAGGGGGACGCCGCCGGCGCTGCGGATCACCCCGGTGGGCTCGGGTTGCAGGTAGTGCTCAGAGCTACAGGCCTGCAGCTCCCCGGACTTGATCAGGCCCTCGCCCCCTTCGGCCACCTGCGAGGTCTCCATAGTGACCTCCCCTTCCGCCGCCATGGCCTGGAAATTGGCCTGAAACTGCATGAGGTGGAGGGAAGAAGTGGACTCAATCCGTGTCTCCACGTGGCCGCTGCAGGAGCTGGTCTGTGACGACGCCTCTGTTTTCACCGTGGGCATCACAAAGGTGCCCCCAGAGTCACCCAGGCTGCTGTGGGCGTTCTGCTCAATGGGGAGGGGCTTGCTGGCGTCCTGCAGGAAGAAGCTCGGGGAAGGGGTCTGGTGGACGTGGGGGCCCGTCTGGCTGAAGCTGGATGTGTAGTCCTTGTTGGAGTCTATTGCACTGAAGTCCATCTGCTCCAGGGTGGTGCTGGGGCTCAGGCCGCCGCCCGACGGCAGGAGGCTGGAGCCGGCGCTCAGGGTGAGGGAGCTGGAAGCCGCGGCCGCCGCGGAGGAGGAGTAGGCCTCCTTGGCCATCTGCTGCTCGAAGGAAGTGTCTTCGGTCTTAATCTCCTTGGTCAGGACGGTGGTGAAGCCGAAGCCCCTCTCCACTGGTGGCGAGTGCCGGACGTCGGCGCTGACCATCTCGGCTTTCAGGCCTCCGCCCCCGTACGTCTGGCCTTGCTTTGGGTTATTGAGGAAACAGTCGGGGTCAAAGTTCATGGTGGTTTCTGGAATCTTCCGGCCCCCGTCGAGGGTGGTGGAGAGGACGAGCTCTTCGGACACATTGGTGGGCAGCATGGACAGGCTCTCCGAGCTACCCGTGGTAGGGAAGGCGAATTTGTGGCCATCGGAACTCACGGCCAGGACGAGGCCCTGAGAGGCGTCGGGCGACAGGAGGTGTTGGTTGGGGCCTGCGGTGGGGGACATGGTGTACACGGCCTCGTTGGTGACCTCGGACATGAACACCGTGGCGCTCTGGGACAAGCTCCCCATCACGGAGGCCACCGCCATGCTGGACACGCCCGTGACCACGGGGCTGTCCGCCATGTCCGGGTCACTGTTGAGCCCGCTGCTGATGGAAACCGGGGAGCTCTGGGTGGTGTCGGGGACCTCCACCTGGTTGGTGGAGGAGACCTCTGTGCTGTTTTGGTGCAGCAGTACCGGCTTGGCCACCTTGCCGTTCCTCTTCTCGCGGCTCAAGCCCTTGCCGTGGCTGTGCTCGTGCTTGCCCTCGGATACGTCATTGTGCTGCACCTCCGCGTGGCCCCCGTAACCCCCCGTCCGCGGCTCCACCTTCGGCGAGATGATGCGGTGTTTGGCACTGTTACACTTGTGGTGCACACTGCTGCCCGCTCCTGCGGAGATCAGAAGCGCAACACGCGCGCACGCACACGCACACACGTGCACACACACACACACGCAGAGTGTCAGAGCTAGGACTGCAGTGGGCCCCGTCCCTGAGCGCTGGGGTCTGGCAGAGCCCAGCCTGGGAGTCCAGGCTGGCCCTGGCCCCTCGGGGCTGCCGTGGGACGGACACTCAGGGACTCAGGCCATCTTACCCCACCCCGGGTTCTCAGGTGCCCTATGTAACCACCGTCTGGACTGGGGGGCTTTGTCCCTGATGCTCCTTTCAAATAGTAATTGAAGAGCCCCAGTGCATAGGAGGCGGGGAAGGAGAGGCTGGGGAGCATGCCGTACTCCAGGAAAATCCTTCCCACCTTCCGAGACGTATTCACTCGCTGGAATGGCTCAGTCTGGGATGGTGGCCGGGGCCTTCTCCCCTCCCCTGAAGCTTTTCATGCCTGCTCAGGCCACAGTGTCCCAGGAAGCCCCTCTGGGACTGAAAGCCGGTGGTTGATGGTAGGGGGCTGGGGGTGCGGTGGGTAGAGAGCAATGTACTCTCCCTGGACTAGCTCTTAGGCCCCAGGACCAAAGAGGGTTCTAGACTTTATTCCAGAGGCAGAAAGGTATTTGGGGCCACCCCCCACCCCCACTCCATTTAGCTAGCCCGGGCCTATCCTTGGCTCCTTGTGGGATGAAATCCTTCTAAAGACCTGAGCAAGGACCCAGCCCTAAACCCCAGTTCAGTGGCAGAGAAGAAAGAACCTCAGGCTCTGAGCGTTTCTGAGCAAGTTGCACTGGGGCTCTGCCCCCAGGCCTCCACTCCTGTGTAATTTTCATTCCATCTGATAAGGGTGACTCTGCTTTTGATAAAAGAGTGAATTCTCCCCTGATCCAGTTACAGACTCACCAAGATCCCTAAGTATGTGAAGACTTCGCAGAGAAGTGACATGACCCTCTAATGAAAATAGCTAATTAAGGCAGCTAGGGAGTGAAGAACCACATTTCCAAGAGCAAATACCATCATCGGAAACACAGACACATCAGGACAGAGGATGTGGGCCGCTTTACATTCTTGGAGGAGACAGAGGTGGAAGCAAGAGGTTTAGCTTGAGTGGTCACACTGACTCAGGGCTGATCTCCCAGAAAAGCCTGTGTCGGCCCGGGGACCTGGGCTCCTGCTGCTGCTGCCCGAGATCCCAGGGCCCAGAGGGCACCTGCCACGGGTGGATGTGGACAGAGACCCAACCCTGTGCACTCCTGACTCTGCTGCCCACGTTCCTAGAGGGCGCGCCTCTCCGGAAACTGCTCTCTCCTGTCCAAAGTGGGCTGCCCTCCAGCCGCGCCAGCCCCGCCGGGCAGGACGAGGGAGAGTTGCCCTGGGTGCTATGCTGTGGTCTGGCTCCTGGCTGACCCGTCTCCCCTTGTGGTCATCACACCCGCTGCCTGGCAGCGCCCCCTCTGCCCACGTGCCCGCTGGGGGCGACCCCGCTCACCCAGGCTGCCAGTGCAGAGGCAGTTGTGGGTCCGCGGCTGTGGCTTGGTCTGGTGGCTGTCAAGGATCTGCTGTACCAGCTGCTCCACCGAGAAGCCCGAGCTGCTGTTCCCGTTGCTGCAGGTCCACTTGATGCCGTGGACTGTGGGGAGAGAGGCGGGGTGGTCAGAGGCCATGGCTGCAGGGGGAATCCTGCGAGGGCCGGGACCTGGGCCCACCCTGAGCGCGGCCCCCTCTCTGCTGGGACACTGGCTTCAGGCACCATGAAGGCATGGCCGTAAGAAGTGGCGGAGAGGAGGGTAGAGAAGGGAGGGCCAGGCTGCCCCATCAGACCCCGCCCCCTGGGGACTTCTGTGCGCCCCCTCTGCCTCCCGTCCTCCTTTCCTGTGGCGCATGGCGGTGGGGGGGGCAGTAGACGGCCCAGGGAGTTGCTCTTTTTTTTCGCAAAGACCAAGTACATCGGGTGGCTCTTCCAGGGGTCCTGGAGTGGAGGGGACAGAGAGTGAGCATGGGGAAGGAGAGGTGCCGGAGGCTGAGGGACCTCCCCAGGCCGCAGGTCGTGGAGATGTGGAGACGTGGTGGATGGAGGTTGGGGACAATGGCTCCCATCCCGACGGGTGGCGGAGGGGGAGCACTTCAGTCTCCTGCTCTCGTCAGACTTCCCGGCCTCGAGGGATGGCAGACTGGGCACAGCCGGTGCCCCCCGATGGCCCGCCACCCGGACGGCCGCCCTGGGGTTCTGGCTCCACCCTCAACCCTGGAGCCCTGCTGTCCCTGGTGTTGGAGTGGGGGACCCAGCATGACTGAGGGCGGATGGGGCTGGAAGTCTAAGATAACCGACTTGCCTGCCTGGGTGTGTGGACTGACTGAGTTTCACGTCCTCTGTGCTCTCTCATCTGGAGCAGACCTGGCTGAGAGGCAGGGGGCTGAGCCTGGGGGGCCTCTCTGGTGGCTCTGGGGGGCCGGGTCCAGAGGCAGTGAATCCACAGCCCCGGGGCTGGAGCTGGTGCCTGGGGCTTCAGGAGGGACCCAGGTCCCTATGAAGGGGGTGGACGGTGGGAGCTGGTGGTCTGAGAGGGGGAGCAGGGCATCAGGGCACAGGGTCAGGTTAGAGAGAGGCCAGGGGCTTTGCCAGAGCAAGAACAATTTGCTTTCTCCTGATCTCACGTGGACTCCATGGGAAGAACTGTCACAGCTCACAGAGCCTGCCTTTGCTCTCTGAGGGGCACAAGGAGACACACAGGGAGAGTCTACACAGCGGGTAGGAGCTGGGTTGGATTCAGATGTGGATTGGAGTCCAGGTTTTGTTCTGTACTTGCTGTGTGAATTTGGCCAAGTCACCAAACCTCTCTGAGCCTCAGTTTCCTCACCTGCAAAATGGGAATACAAGAGTATCTGCCTCACAGGGTGGCCCGGAGGAAACCCAGTCTCCTGCCTGGCACTCCGTGTGGACCCCGCCAAGAGTAGCTGTTGTCATAACCGTTAATGTTGATGATGACAACGACGGCGACACACAGCACGCAATGCTGGCCTCGCCCTGGCAGCTTGGCCGATGCTTTGGGAATGGGCCTGGGGAAGGCAGCTTCTTGCTGTGACCTCCACAGGCGGCTCAGCCTTGGAACGCAGCAGGGAGAGCTCCACGGTGCCGTCCGTCTCATGCCTCAGCTCCTGTGTGCGCCTGTGCTTTCATGTAGAACTTCAGTGGTTTTTCAAAGAAAACCCCGGTGTGAGGGTCGTGATCTGCTGGGAACCCCCTGAGGCCGCCACTTCTCTTCTCCTCTCCATGCACCTGCCCAGGTGTTCGCCCAGGATCCTCGCCTCCACTCCATTCTGATGAGGCTCTGGCCCCTCGGGAGGTCTTCTGGGCTCTGCCGTTCATTTCTTCAAAAGCGCTGGGGCCCCAGCCCTGCTCCTGGAGGTCCCGAATTCTGGCGGGTCATTGAGAGGGGACGGTGGCTGAGTGGCTTCTGCCTCGAGCTAGCTCAGCTGCCTGGATTTGAATTCGTGGGAGCCTGTTTGTAGCCCTGTGTGATGTGCATGCCCAGGGGTTGGGTGTTTGCAGCCCACCTTTCTGCAGGTGGACAGCGCCTCCCCTTGGGATCCCTCGGGAAAATCTCCAGCAGCCCCAGGAAGCTTGCACTCCCGCTGGCTCAGGCCCACCTCCTGTCTGGAAGCTGGAAGGGACAGCCCAAGCCAGGGGTTTGCAAACCTCATCGTAGCTGTGGAGCACTTTTCGCAAATGAACCTCTACCTGCAAATCCAATATGGAAAACAGATCACAGCAGAAGGGGCCTGGCCCAGGCAGGACTTAGGGGTCAGGGCGTGTCCTCACACCTGGGCCCCCCTCGGCTGAGGACCTTTTCCAGAATCCTCATTTTATAGATGAGAAAACAGAGGCTGAGGGTGGGGGCCAGAGGGCAGGACTCAAACCGCTGTACACAGATGTCCTGTCCCAGCCCAGGGGTTCTGGAGGGGCGCCCAGACTTTTCTTTAAAGCTCTGCATGAGTTCCTCACATGCAGTCAGGGTGGCACACACAGGGCTCTGTCTTAAGCCAAGTCTTTAGATTCTGCAAGTGTGAGACCAGAAGCGTCTCCAGAGCTCATCACGGGTGCTTCCATATGTGCAGGACTTGGAGCAAGGGCTCCTTACAAAGCCAGACCAGGTGTTCTCAGGGAACCCTCTCCCGACCCACCCGAGTCTGAACTTGAATCTCTGGAGACATGAGCTAGGCTCAGGCAGCCCCACCTCTGGCTTCTGGCTGCAGGACCCCACCCCACCCAAAGGTCTGGGGTGCTGGCGTTGGGTAGGCTCGCTAACCCCCGGACTGCCCGTCGCCTCTGCTGGAACGTTCTGGCATTTTGGACCAGGCCCCCCCAGTGCTGACAACTGCCGCTCAGACCAGCCTCCTCCAGCCCCCGTGCGGGCGCCGCTCCTGCGTTCTTCCTGCTTCTTGTTCGTCTCCTCATGTTGTGAAGGTTATAAAATGAAAACCCAGTGAAGGGTGACAGATTGCAAGCAGAGAATTTCTGGATACTTAATGCAAATTACCTACTGTCTTAGCGCATCCAATATGCAAATTGCCTCCCTCCCCCTCTGGTGGGGGAGGGGAGAGGAGCCCCCTCCTCGGAGGTGGTGAGCTGTTAGTACCGAATATCAAATACTATCAAGACGGCTTTTAACATGTCATGCTCCGCTTCCCGACACGTAATGAATCAATGGGAAAGGAGATTTCTTTTGGGAAAAGCGTGCTTTATGGAAGGAAGGTTGATATACACGCACGCTGGCCCCCTCCCCCTCCACTGCCTCTCCTCCTTCGTAAAAGCAGCTAAAGGGAAACCCGTTAAAGGTACAGTTGGTGAAATGTAAGGTCATGAACTGGGGCGGAGGGCACAGCAAGAGAAAAGGGAATACCCCCCTGCTCCCCCGCCCAAATCACTTCTTTGTGGCTCTGGGCCACATCGTCCCCTCTGCTCTCTGAGTCTCGGTGGAGGGCTCCTCATTCCCAGGCCGCAGTCGGCCGCCTGGGGGTGGGGGTGGCCTGAGTGTTTCCTGCCGAATCCCTGGCCGGGGAGCCTCTAAAGCTCCCCATGCAGGAGGTCTGGACTGTGCTCCCGGGCTGCTCAGGTGATGGAGGGTGGCCTGTCTTGTGTGCCCAGGAAGGCTGGGGCAAGGAAGGTACCAGAGAGGGAGAAGGCGGGCGTGGGTGACTTCTCACAGGCCTGCACAGGACAGGAGTGGCCAGAGGGCCACACTGGCCAGGGGGTGCTGCAGGGTACTTCTGCGGTTCCGCCCACAGTCCTGCTGCTGCCCAGGGACCCCTGCACCTGGGCCCGACACTGGCTCTGCCAGGCGGAGCGCAGCAGGCCCCGTGGGAGGACTGGTCTGCAAGCCGACGGTGCTGACGTGGCCTGAGCACGATGCTCACCCTAACGACCTCCCAGAGCTGGGCAGCCGGGCTAACACTCCTCTGAATAATCAAAAGGAAATCGGTGGCAACAGCCTGGGGCCACGCTTTGGAGACCATCTTCTGATGAGCAATTCACCCAAGAGGCAGCCAGCCGCTGGGAAGAGTGTAACGGAGGTCTGGAGGACGGGGCTGGGGAAGGTATGGGGGTGAACCCTCCACCCCCACCCCTGCCTGGGGCATGCCTGCTCCATCCCAGCCTTGTGGGGGGTTGTAGGTGGAGAGCTTTGGCCAGGTAGGCTTAACTTGACCCCAGGTTGAGCTGCCCTGTCACTCTGTTATGGACAGAATTGTGTACCCCCCCAAAATTCTTAGGTTGAAACCCTAACCTCCAATTTGAGTATATTTGGAGATAGGGCCTTTTGGAAGATAATTAAGGTTAAATGAGGTCCTAAGGGTGGGTCCTTATCCAACAGAACTGGTGTCCTTATAAGAAGAGGAAGAGACACCAGGGGCGAGCGCACAGAGGAAAGGTCATGTGAGGACACAGCGAGAAGGCAGCCGTCTGCAAGCCAAGGGGAGAGGCCTCAACAGAAACCACCCCTGCCCACACCTTGATCTTGAACTTCCAGCCTCCAGAACTGTGAGAAGTAAATTCCTATGGCTTAAGCTGTGCAATCTGTAGTGTTCTGTTATGGGAGCCCCAGCTGGCATCAGGGCTCAGGCCTGAGTCCTACATGCCCCTGGGAGAGACCCACCCTGCCCTTGTGCTGCACACGTTGGGTGTGTATGTTTGAGGGGCACTGAGATCTTTCCAGAGTGCCTCCTTTTGAAACCGAGCAGGACCCTGTGGGGCTCCTGGGCACAGAAACCTTTCTGTCCCCCATTTCTTGTTTGTAGGGAGCAGACTCCAGACTCCATGACCTTCCCTGAGTTCCAAAGGGCAGATTTGAACAGTTGCTAAACAAGGGAGGAACAGCCAAGCAACCACCTGAGGCGAGATTAGAGGAACCAGAGAAGCTCATCAAGAGACCACCTGAGACCAGATTGGAGGGGCGCAGCTGATAGACCACCTCTAATCTTACCAGCAACCCCACGCTTGAACTATTGCTATAAAACTCCTCGTCAAATCCTCCCGGGTTGGGACACAGAGTTTTTCAGAGCAGGAGCCCGCTGTGCCCCCCTCTGCCTGGCAAAGCAATAAAGCTGTTCTTTTCTACTTCACCCAAAACTCTG